AACTTCCGCAAGGCTCGCGAGGGCATCTTGTTCTCCTCGGACGTGACTGCGCGTGGTATGGATTTCCCGGATGTCACCCACATCGTCCAAATTGGTGTTCCTCGGGACCGTGAGACCTACATTCACCGTCTCGGCCGCACAGCTCGTGCTGGCAAGGAAGGTGAAGGTTGGCTGTTCATGCACAGAGCCGAACAAGATGTCTACAGGAAGCGCCTGGGCCGTCTCCCATTGCAGTTGGACGCCACTTTGGAATCCGCCGGTGCAGATCTTTCCCAGACCTTCTCTAATGACACATCAGTTGGCAAGATCGTTAACCAGGTTACCGAAGGTCTGGCCCAGTGTGACGGTGCTACCAAAGTCAAGTCCTACATGGGCCAACTTGGTACCACCACTGGAAACTTCAATAGCAAGAGAGAGGCCATTCAGGCAATCAACCAGTTGTTCACCGTGGGATACAACATGCAATCCCTCCCAGAGCTCAGCCCTAGATTGATGCAGCAAATGGGTCTCAACCGAATTGACGGTGTCAGTGCGGGTGACGGCAGCCGCCAGCGCCGCGAGGGCGGCTTCTCCCGCGGTGGTGACCGTGGAAGCCGTGGTGGCTTCTCTCGCGGTGGCGACCGTGGCGAGCGTGGTGGTTTCTCTCGCGGCGGTGACCGCGGCGGGTTCTCCCGTGGCGGTGACCGTGGCGAGCGCAGTGGCTTCTCCCGTGGGGGTGACCGCGGTGGTTTCTCCCGCGGTGGTGACCGTGGCAGCTTCACCCGTGGTGGTGACCGTGGTGACCGTGGTGAGCGCTCGTCTCGTCCTCGCCGCTCTTTCGATGAGTCCTCAGTGGACGACTCTTTCCGATTTTAAGTTTGAGTTGAAGCAGAGATCAACTCTTGCCAGCTACGCTGGCGATTATCAAAATACTTATAAGAGTATGTACCCTCCCTAGTCGGAATTCTGTCAAAGTGGAACTGCCCAAGTCCACGCTAATTTTTGCTAGCGTGGTGTATTGCATATACCATATAATACCAATTTGTACAACATAACAATCTCCAGGGCTATCAGCAATTGTGATATATCAATTTGATCTTTTACCTACAAGATCAGACCAATTTTCATTAAGATCAGAGTTTCCTATTTAGGACTATCCTATTGATCTTATTGATCTAAAATAAAAATAAATATAACTAGTCAACTAGTCAACTAGTCAACTAGGCCAAAAGATCATAACTAGGGATAATCGGAACCTCCGATTGTCACTGTAGCGGTTACCTAATTAGGTAGGTACCTGGGTATATATACTAGGCCCTGGATGTCAGGTGACAATCCCTAACAGGCGGCGGCCGTAAGGCTTGTTTTTACACTTGGCCTAGTCAGTGGACTCAAAACGGTGTAAATTGTACTGATGATCGAAATTGACCCTTGAACACTATTCTTACACTTCAAATTTCGCCATCATGGAACCTGCACAAACCCAACTAGCTCGTGCCTTGCCACCATTGAACCCGAACTTCGGAACGACAAATCCATCTATCCACAGTGATCGTGTCTCCCTCGCCTACATGCAACAGTGGGATTCATTTGTTCGTGATGCTTTCGACCTTTTCCAGCGGACACCCATTACGAGGTAGCTTCCCACGACGAAGATGAATTAGTCGTACCATTGTGAAGTAATTAATGCACTTTACTTCAAGAAGGCCGTGATACAATAGTCTATAAAGCACTAGCCAATGAGAGAGTTATGTGACGGTGCCTATAGTCGTGGGACTCGAAGTTGACCCATGAGGTTCCTCGCAGTGGCTCCATCGGATATTATATAGGATTCCTTTCTAGATACGAAGATCTGACCCTCACTGTTTTGTTGATTGTACAATACCTTCTAGTAATCTGCTATTATCCTATCCAGGATTCAATTTAATCTTGACACAATATCATTTCCTACCAAAACAGCATCATGATAAACAGGAGAAGACTTGGGTAACTGCCGCTTCTAACCAGATCCATTTTCGAGACATCTAAATCGTTTGAACATGGGACAAAAAGGAAACCTTATATCACACATCCCAAGTATATTGCAATATGCACGAAAAAATAGCAGTCACTCGTGAGTACAAAAAAAGAAAAACACCAAGGAGAAAAGAAACAAAGAGAAATGCACTTAATCACGAGCGATCATGTGCTCTCTGGCAGGACCAGTACCGATCCACTTGACAGGAACACCACCAATCTCACGCTCAATGAACTCGATATAAGCGCGAGCATTAGGAGGCAGATCCTCGTAACGTTGAACACCCATAGTGTTGGCCTTCCATCCAGGCAGAGTAACATACTCCACCTGAATCTTCTCGACAACATTAGGATCCGCAGGGAAAGTACCAGTAGTACGCTTTCCATCCGGCAGTATATAAGCAACACCAACCTTGATCTCATCAAAGTCATCAAGGATATCGAGCTTAGTCAAGTTCAGCGCGGTGTAGTGGTTGATAGCGTGAGAGTAGCGACACAGGACAAGATCCAACCAGCCACAGCGACGACGACGGCCAGTAGTCACGCCGAACTCCCGTCCAACCTGCTGCAGCTTCTCGCCGACTTCGTTGACCTGCTCGCTGGGGAAAGGTCCAGAGCCAACACGTGTCGTGTAAGCCTTCACCACTCCGATCACGGACTTGATGCTGGCCGGGTTCAAGGCAAGCGCTTGCACGGCTCCGCCCAGGCCGGTCGATGATGAGGTCACGTACGGGTATGTGCCGTGATCGAGGTCGAGCATGAGGGCGTTGGCTCCTTCGACCAGTGTGTTGGGGGAGTTCTTATGCTCTTGCAGGAACTCGAGCTGGTCGACGATGTGGGGCTTCAGGAGGTTGCGGTATTCCTAGAGATTGTTAGTGATGTGGTTTTTGATGTGGATGAGCAGGACTAGGATTTGTTCATTTCTGCTGTCGCGCCATGGGGATTTCTTATCGTTCCTTGGATGGAATTTTTAAAAAAGGGCCGGGTTTCATGCGTACCTTGAACCGTGCAATTTCCTCCTCGACATCGTATGCCAGATCTCCGAACCGGGTGCGGTATGAGGTGTCCAAAGTGCGCAGCTTGCGTTCGAAGGTGACCTCGTCCAGGATTTCACCGACGCGGACACCGCGGCGTGCGGCCTTGTCGCTGTAACAGGGGCCGATACCCTTGCCGGTGGTGCCGACCTTGCGGCCACCGAGACCCTTCTCCTCGAGACCGTCGACGACGGAGTGTAGGTCGAAGCAGACGTGTGCGCGGTCAGAGACGAAGATGCGCTGGGCGGAGCCCTTCAGGCCCTTGGCCTCGATAGCGGCCAGTTCATTGAAGAAGCTAGGGACGTGGAAAACGGTACCGGCGCCGATCAGGTTGACACATTTGGGCGAGACGAGGCCGGAGGGAAGAATGTGGAAGTCGTAGGTGACGTCCTCGTGGACAATCGTGTGACCGGCATCTGTATCCAATTGAAAATGGCCGGTTGGTCAGTCACTTGTCTATTTTTGGGACGGTCCATTTAAAAACTTCAACAATCCGGGGTAGAAGGGTTGCAAAGCGAGTTGAACGTACTGTGTCCACCGGCTGCACGGCAGCAAAGTGTCGCATCCTGCGACAACATGTCTGTGATCTTCCCCTTTCCTGTTCATACGTTAGCATGTCCAATGTCTCTATCGGGTCTCGTTCACGTCACCTTCATCTCCCCATTGGCCTCCTAGAACGATTGAAACCATGATTGCACGTTTGACAAAGTCACAAATTCCGACTGATGTACGATCAATTGCTTTGGATGGTGGGGTATGTTCGAAGGCAGAAGAGAATATGTCTGGAGCCGATAGCGGGGCCAAGATCAGGTTTGCCGGTGTGATTTTTCTGGAGTTTTCTGGGCAAATTCGACCAACAACGTGGATATTAGGTAACCTAGGGATTTGTAGTTGGATCTGTAGTTTAACTATACTACATTGAGCTATCTTTTTACAAATTTGATATATTTTTTTCCCCAGTGAGTCAGACCTGTTTTCGGCGAACTCCTACTGTCACAGATCAGGCGGGGTGGCGGGGCATCGTTGCAGCCTTGATGCCTTGATGCCTTGATGTCGTGGTGCCTTTCTGCCTTAATTCAATTAAAGCCTCAGGCAGTAAGGGTTAGGGCAAGGGCTTCAATATATCCCCATGCTTTTCGCATTATACATTGTCATTATACATTGTCGTCTCCTCACTCGGGGTTAGTTCTCGCCGCCATTCCTTTCCTGAATGGTCCCCGCAATTGGAAACATCCCCACCAACGTGCCAATACGTAGTACTAACAATCGTGAATGTTGTCACCCCTGAGAGATGCAGACTGGGGCCAGGCTGATCGCCGCTCTACCCCAAAAGCCAAAAGCACAGCATAACATATGATAGCTGCCAAGTTGTTGCCAGCTTTCAACTACAGTATAAGGGTCAAGATTGAGCAAATCAAAGATGTCAACACCCCTGACGTTAAAGCGACCCACTCGATCAGCTACTAGTCCCAGCGAAAACCTTTCTGGAATAGCACCGATATTCAAAAATGGAATCAGGAAATAAGAAGTGATGTAGGTGATTGGGATGAAACAGCGAATTCAACCATAAAGATAGATTGGTTAATTTGGCTTGAAATACACCCAAACAACCCTCCTAGTACCTAAGTACAGAGTAAAACCCTACTCGAACAAATCCAAAGAAAACACCGATGATAGAACCCCGATAAAAGACTCAGGCATATCTATGCAGATGTGATAAAAATCCAGGGTATTCACGATAACACCAAGTCATTATGCATCGCAAAAGAGAGAGAGAAAGAGATCAAAAAAGGCACGTAGAAGACATCAATAGAAGTGAAAAATAAAAAGAAAGAAACAAGCAGGGATGAAAACGTTAGAAAGCAAAAACAGGTCAGATCAAATCAGAGCCGATAACCAGAATACTAAAGCTGAAGATGCATCTTCAGCAGTGAGGACTCCAGTTGTCATTAAAAAGCTCAGTGATTTAACTCAAACAACCCTTCCGCCATCCCGAATCCACTCTCTCAATCGTCCAAGATCGAGGATACATTCCCGATGCAGCTCACAGGCAACGTCCCAATGCTTCCGCACCTGGATATCCTCCTCAATACCACGGAGATAAGCGCTGAAGCCGCCCTTGCTACTACCGGGGATGAGGAATTCATCAACGTGATAATCATCTAGATTCTTCTTTGTCGTGCCGTTGATACTGTCGTCGTCTGTGCCGTTTATTTTGAGACGGGTAGAGTCTCCAACGGCACTGATCCAGCCCGGCGCGAGACCGGTTTCGTTCGCTTCTTGGCGCGCATTGAAATGCGTAAGCATGCGGCCGTTGAACGCGTTCCATTCGTGCATGTACGTGCCCATTGCTGATACATACCAGTTCCATTTTTCCCGGGGGAGGACGAGATGCTTAGAGGTTGGGGCCAGCAGGACTGGTTTCGGGGCCCAGGGTCGTTTGGGTGGGTTTGGGAGTTGGAGTACGCGGGGGCGGATATCGTTTCTGGTCGTTCTTTGCTGTTTGGCTTGAGATTCGAAGGGGAGAGTGGTGTGGAAGTCTTCTAAGTTCTCGATGCCTCCGCCGGTTGTGTTGGTAAATGGTGCGGTGTTGCGAAGATTATCGAGGTTGAATAAAGGGGTACGGGGGTCTGCGCTCGGAGGCTTGGGCTTCTTGACCGGGGGTGCATCTGGTACAGCCTGAGAAGCCAAATCGGGATGGCTGCCACTGCTTGATCTTCCACCTGGGACCTTCGTCGGAATACCCGGAGGAGTAGGAAGGTCCTCGTCGAGATCCATCTCCTCAACTTCCGGTACTGCTGTCCCGGCTGGCCGAGGAGTCTGGCCATTAAGAGTTTCTTTGGCTTCCTCAGCTTCAGTAGCAACACTTGCTGGCTGCGGAGCGCTCCGCAGCTTGGTACCTGCTCTGGGCTGTTTCTTTGGACTACGCGGTGCGGCATTTGCCGCTTGTTTGGCTTTCTCGATCTCTGGTACCGTCCACGAGAGATTTCGAAGCTGCTCAGACCATGAATCTGCAGAAAACTTTGCCTGTGCAAAGGGAGTTGGTGGTTGTTGTGGTGACTGCGAAGTTTGGTGTAGAGGAGTAGGGCCGAAGGGATTTGGAATCGGCGATCCGGTCGAGGATGCCTGTGTCGGTCCATTTCGGACGTTGGCACGCCCCCGATTCTGCGAGACAGGTGATCTCGGAAGTGACTCCTTGCTTGGCGATGCAGAGCTCATGAAATCGAACTGGCCCAAGTGGTCCCGCCAATCATCTGCAGAAAACTTCTTGTGCAAGTCACTTGTGCTGCTGCGTCCATACGCGGCAGACTGGGGCCTTTGCGCATTGTTTGCCGGGTCGGTGCTAATACGGGTGCCTGTCAGATAAGGCGAAACAACTTGATGGTAGGGAAATCGAACATACTTGACGGAAGAGGAAGAACCCGATGGGTTGGTCTGCTGGTCTGATCGGTACGAGCTTTTTGGGAAAGCAGCGCTATCTGAGGTGTGTCCTTTGGGGCCGTCCTTGTCAGCAGGGATAGGTGGATTAAGGGGGGATCTTGAAAAATCGAGGGAGGTACGTAGCTACCATCGGGTAGCTCGACGGCTCGAAGCCCATTCTCGAAGAAGAAGGAAGTGAAGTCCATACCATTTCCGGGGCTTGCTGTTCCTGGGTTGTAGAAGTCGGCAAACTTTTGATGCGGCCCGAGTCGACTCTTTGGCACAGCCTTCGGTTTGGGCCGAGTCTCTTCCCCTTCACTCGAGCTGGTAGAGTCATAGTTATTGGTATTCCGCCTGGGCGAGGGGCTGGCGCTACGGTATCTCCCAGATCGGCCAGAGGCAGGGCTGGATTTACTTGTATGCGCGTTTTGATGAGAAGAACCTGAGGGGGTACGCATAGTTGCGGAACGTCCTAGTCCTGTGCTTGAAAAGAAAGTCTTCTCACCCTTGCCTGCTTGTGCGTAGCTTCTACTGGGTCGTTCGAACTCCGGGGTGTATGAATGGCGAGATTTGGGTTGAGGCGGCTCGGGTGATGCTGGTTTCTTCGCAGTTGGGGGCACAGCAGGCTTGAAGTATTGGCTGCTCATCCGTTCAGCCCGGTTATTGCTATAGGCGGAGGTGTTGCGGGCCATCGGTTCATCTCCTCCGGCTGCACCTGGCGCAAAGCCCTGCTTCTTCTTGAAAGACTGTGCGTTGGAATGGGAGTTGTGGGCCTCAAAGGCAGACTTGGGCCGGGTAGATTGCGCAGAAGTTCCAAAGGGATACCGCTGTGCTCCAGGACCTGGGACACCACCAGCGGCACGGCCAGTTGCAGGATCGAAGCCCTGCCACCCAGGTGCCTGACCTCCTCTCATATTATTAAAACCATGGAATGCATCAGCCCTTGTTTGCGCATTGTCCTGTTGTTTGAATTGTTGCGGACCGGCACGCGCATGAGACGCGTATCGTCGAGCGCCAGCCGATGGGGTATTCGGGGTCGCCTTTGTGTACTGTGAATTTGCAGACGCCGATGTTGGCGCAGGGCGAGGAGGATAGGTGGGGGGTTGTGTTTTGCGTTGGGTATTTGGCTTCGGCGGTCCGTAGTACTTGCCATAGCCTGCGCGTAAACGATCGGTGTCGTATTTCAGTCGTTGCGAGGGGTCACTGAGGATCTCATTGGCGGCCTGGATGGCCTGAAATTTGGCGTTGAACTCGACTTCTCGTCCTGGGTTCCTGTCTGGGTGGTACTTGAGTGCTTTCCCTCTCAGTTAGCAATGGCTCCAATTATCAATTTATGACACAGCTTTTGCAAAGCTCACCTAATTTCCTAAACTGCTTTTTGATGTCTTCAGCCTCCGCACTGGGCTGGAGCCCGAGGTCCGCATAGTAATCCTTGCGCACGTCGGATTTCACCATTTTGTTCGTGGGTTTCCGGCGAACTTATGCAATTGTAATAAGTTCGAATCGCATAATCGGTGTTCAAGTAAATGATCGGCGGTCTCACGCATGTCCAGTCAGAGAACGTCGGCGAAGAGTCAGGCAAAAAGCACGAGGGCAGGGCCTTTTGAACAGGACCAGGCAAGCAGAACAATGCAATGCTAGCAAACTCAAAGTCTCACTCGTCAAAGGTTGCAAAAAGTTGTAAGAGTGGGTTCAGTTCAGAGGGGGGAAGAAAGGAAGGGTAGAGTCTCCTTGTATGCTCCGCGGTCTCGGTTGGCCGCAGGGTCCACTCCAAAAGCGCTCAGAGCTTTGCGAGAAACAGTTCGGAATTTAGTCACGGGGTTTGCGGGAGATTGGAGGTGTTTTAGAGTGAGAACAGGGAAAAGCGAAGCGGGGGGATGATGAGGGCAGGCAGAAGTGACTTGAATAGAAAATCGGAGATCGGAGTGGGCACCTGATGTCGAGATCAGGCAGTTGGGTCCAAGCGCAGATCGGAGTGAAGCAGCCAACAGGGCTACAGAGTTGTCTTTTGTGCGGTGACTGCCACGATCAAATGAGTGGAGAGCATAGAATTAGTATGTTGGGTTGAAAAAAAAAAAAAATTCAAGGCGGGAGAGTTGTTTGTTTTGATGCGGTTGCTGCCCGAGGCAATCAATATATCAACATATCAATGCAAGGTAACTACAACATATGTTAGTTAACTATACTATACTAACTATACAATTCTTAATGCTATTGTTAACCCTGGAATTAAGAGTCCAGTACTCCGTATCGTTCTCTAGAATCGTGCTGCATATTCACCTGGTCGTGGACTACACCTCCTGAGACCATGGGTTAGTTGAACGATAATTTTAATAATTTTACACACGCCTACTCTCTTTCAAGGGGATTTTTCTACATGGAACGGTCAAGGAAGATACTTTTTTTCTGGTAGCTATATCCTAGTTCTTTTTAGGCTTTTTTTTCCCATGGTAAAGCATATCGATCTCCAGCATCATTTGTTCTTCGTCTTTCGATCACCAGCCGTCATCTACCTCGGGATGAGTCGGTTCAGATCACGTCGAAGGAGTTTGCTCAGGCTCAATGGAGGCAAGTTGAGGCAAGGGAGTTGATGTTTCCTGGCGGAGCGGCGCTTCTGATGGGATTCGTTTGCCTTTTGTATACCATCACTCCGAGTAGGCAGGAGGTCTGGGAACGACTCAGCTAGTGGTTCCGGCATGGTGTGCACTAGTCTGTTGGGCTTGGCAAAATCATATATATATATATATATCATCAATGCTCTGAGGAATGGGGAACTGGCAAAAGGGTCCTCGTGCATCAGTTTACGGTTATAAAGGACGTACAAGGCATAGCGACCATGCCATGCCATGCACTATATATATCGGAACCTGGACAATCTGAACGTAATGCTCAGATATAATGGTCTTTTGGCCTAGTTTGTAACTCACCAGTCCAGGGGCAGGTTGTAACAGACCGCGACTGAATGCAACGTTCAGTCTTTGGAAATGCCGCATAAAACCTAGGCTCATCGTCCGAACCATATCAAAGACCACAACGTCGGACTCGCTTCCTTGGAAGGTCTCAATCTTTTGCACATTTATCAGATGCCAGTCGATCGATGGGTGATTGCTCTGGCGCCGATCAGCTTCCTCGATGTACGACCGCCATTGGGCATCATAGCCTGTTAAGATGACGATGTTCTGCAGAGGGATTTCAAGACTTTCGTGGATATATTTATAAATGCGAGATCAATGCCGTGGTGCAATGAACGTTGTTGGCGTATGAGCTTTGCACTTGCCTCTCCTCGCCATGGTGGGCGAGGAATACAACATTCGAATTGATGTTGTATTCTTGCATATATATATATTGCTTGTTGTGATCGGAATGTGAATTGAATTTGAAGACAATTGGCAGATCTCTTGGCCGCTAGTTTAGGGGTGACTGTTGAAAACAAATTGAAATTAGCGTATATGTTTCAAAAAGGCCGTGATAAAAGGGGGTGAGGTAATACCAATGACAGTGCCGGTGGCATACTTAGTCGCCCGTAGAAGTCTCATCTCAGTTGCTTGTTGTAAAAGATCGTATTGACCAGTTTATGGATATGCCCGGTCAATCGACGCTGTAGGTTAAGCTGACCTACTCCAAGGCGGTCGATGTGATAGCAAAGGACGGGGAGCAAGTCAGTCTCTCTGATCATAGTGGTCAACGGCCACGAATGATGGATGATAGAGAAAAAGAGGGAAAGAAGAGGGAAAGAGGGTTGGGGAAAAGAGAAAGAAAGAAGATGGAGAAGGGGAGGGAGGAGGGACCTTAAATATGGGAAAACAAAGAGTGATGGGCCCTAGGCAGTGAACTTGAAAAACATAGGCAATAACAGAATTGAAGTAACGAGAAAAGAAAAGGTGAGAATGGTTCCGGCTGTTGTTAACCAGCGGAGCAACAGCTATAAAAGGCTGTGAGGTGAGGAAGGGTTATGAGGAGGTGAGAAAAGAAAAGAGGAAAGGTGCTGGAAGTGAGAGAGAACTTATAGGACCATTGAACCATGCTAATTTCAATTTGTATAGTAGCATATTGTATTGAATATATAGTATACAACTACACACTCTATTCAATTCAGACTCAATTCAGATTCACTTCAGTAATTCAGATTCAATTCAGATTCAATTCATTCTCACCATTCTTATCATTCTTATTTCACATGGTAGGTAATAGACACTTTCCAAGGTTACTAATAAACACGAATACCTACCTAGGTAGATTTCACCAATAATGATCGCACGGACTTTTACATTTTCGATCATCCTGTCGACGAGGCCGTACCTATAGGTAGTTCGACTATGCCAAAGCGGTGAAATATAACGTTATCATTTGAACGCGACTACTGCTTTTCATCATCTCATCATTCATCATCTCCACACAAGGCTTCAACTTTGCACCTTCTCGTCACACAAACACCCTACACAACCTCACAATATTCTCATCCTATCCATCAATTTCCACGAATCTACATATTGACTTGCAGTGACTCGGTGACTCACCGAACATCGCCATGGGGGATCCTAGAATACCTTGCTATGAAAATGAAGCCGGGAAGGAAGGTGCGATGGCAACATCCGAACTACCTCGTGATTTCCTCGAACCTGATTCCTCCATGAATCTTCAATCCTTAGGATCTGACTTTCATATTCCTGACGAAGCTAAGCGTTTGACTCGCCCAACAAAGAAGCAAATAACCAGGAATATTGAGGAGATCGCAAGGGAGATCGATATGAATCTAGAGACAAGTCAATATCTTTTAATCATTAACCCGAGCGATACCCTACGTACCTACTTTCTGAACAGTAGGGTCGGCGGGGTACGACTCACTATCGACGATCACAACATCCTACTTAGGATTATGCCTGGCAACCAGCACAAAAGTGTGCTTAGCAAATTTGCTACGCGCTTCCCAGACGCAATGACGACTGCGGGTTTGCCGGCTCAGAATCGTCGTTGGAGGCCTACTGGCGGTTCACTAAGACGAGGGGCCTACTGCGGAAAGGAACCAGATTTCAGTATGGCCCCAGTTCCGCATATCCTCTCTACATCTGTTAGCATTTGGCCATCCCTTGTCATCGAAGTTGGGATGTCTCAATCGCACTCTTCTCTCAAAAGAGATGCTCAATGGTGGTTCGAAAACTCTTCCCACAACACTCGATTGGTTCTGTTATTCAATATCCACAAGGACCCATTTTGGGTAGATGTTGAACTGTGGATGGCGCCTACCGGTACTCGACCAGGCCTACCTACACGCCAGAACGCCATTCCCGACTCAGACCATCCCGGAGAGTTCATTCCGCGTGAAGAACTGGGACCTTTATCGGTTACACAGGCAGTACGAGTCACAGATGGTGCGGTCTCACAAGTCAAGGGCCAGGGCCTAGATATCAGTCTAGACTACGAGCTGCTTATGCGGGAGGGCCGACCAACTGGACAAGAAGATATCGTCATTACAGAAGAGATGCTACAGTGGATTTGCGAAGAAGTCCCGTCAAGCAGCGGCTGAGGTTTTGCCCTGCTTTCACCCAGCGGACAGTACCAACGCATTGATTGATACTGGATATGAAGTTACATGCTTGCTGATGGGTTTTCGCGTCGGACTAATGGATGGGATCGCAACCATTTTCTTGCTTTCGCCCGGCGGACAGCACCAACACATTGATTGATACTGGACATGAGGTTACATGCTTGCTGATGGGTTTTCGCGTCGGACTAATGGATGGGATCGCAACCATTTTCTTGCTTTCGCCCGGCGGACAGTACCAACACATTGATTGATACGGGATATGAAGTTATGTGCTTGCTGATGGGTTTTCGCGTCGGACTAATGGATGGGATCGCAACTATTTTGCTAATCGCTTTTTTAATGTATTATTAACGAATTTCATTTCAATTATTGTTCTATTGCAGTGGTGATAACTCACCCTTTTCTAACGAGGTGTTCGCTAGGCGATGGTACAATATATGTTTTAGACTCCTAGGTAGCGTCCCACTTACATATAACGTCCCTAATATCATCTTCCAAGGTCCTAATAGACGGAATTACTAGTCCCACGTCGACATCGATAGAGGCCGCCTCAGCAGCCAACTATTCTGGTGCATGTATAATACCCAAGGTATTGTAAATATGTAGAATAACTCTAGTTTGATTGTGCCAGGTTCATAATGGCATACCATCCGACACCATTTGCAAAGTAGCAATAGCAATGCATCTATCTCTTTCCGAGGCATCATATCATCGTGAATCTTTCACAAAGCTATTCTCTCACCACCAGAAATTCACGCTGATACCAGCCCTCAATCCACGCACATAGTGCCACCACCCAACAGGAATGTAGAGACACTCGCCTTCCTTGAGAACCGTCTCCACATAATCGGCATCCATGAACCCAGGCCACATCTCTTCCCATTGCTCATACTCAATAGGGGAAGTCTCGATAGCAGCCAGGTCAACCTTGGAGGTGTTCGACATGTCAATCTGTCTGCGAGTCGTTGGCCGAGCCCCGGATACAGGGTCTGGCTCTGCTGTCTCATCAATCGACGTGACCCATTCTTGGCCCCGTGGATGGATTTGAGAGTCAGGCGTATGTGGCGAGTACAGCCTGACGTACTTGGTGCCCACGACCTGCGCGAGGATGTTGTGATGGGGGTCATGGTGGAGAGGGGAGATCGTACACGCGGGTCCGATCCAGGTGTTGATAATGGGATCGCTAGGGATTCCCATAAGCGAGCCTGCATCTGAGTCGTGTTCGGCTATGTCATGCTCACCTGGTGCTGTTTCCGACTGGGGGCCATGCGATGTTTCAGAGACCCCTGCTTGAAGTTTTGCCTCGCGCTCTCGCTTTTTCTTCTCATACACTGGTGTGCCAGGGTCTGGGCCCGGCGGGGTGATATAGCAGTAGTCCGGTACACTGATATCGTTGCGGAAGGCGGGGATTTGAGTAAGTAGATCGTGTTGTGCCATGTATGCTGTCTCTCCATCGAGGTTAGTGACCTGGGGTTGGTTTTCTGTCGGCCCAGTCGGGGCTAGTTTCCCTTGCCATATGTACTTGTCCACAAAGTCTTTGAACGGCATAATCTTCTGTCCCCAGTCCTCGTCGGTATACGACCTTCCCACCTCAATGGGGACCAATCTGCGACCCCCAAATGTGCGATCCAACCAGTAGTTCCACGAAGACCATGGACGCGTGGAAATGGCTGGCCAGTGTTCCATTGCATCTGTTATCACCAGCGGAGTGCGAATGTTTTGAATGTGGTTTTCGATGGAATCGAATGACGGTGCGGATAAACGAAGGATCGGATGATCCAGGTGGGGGTTACGGATGGCATTTGGAGGGAAGAGAGGAGGCGAGAATTTCCTGCGTTTTGCAGTAGGGTATTCCGGACTACCAATGTCGTCATATTCGAATTTTGAGGATTCTGTAGCTGCCTGCAGCGTGGACAACAAGGATTGAACCAGCTTCTCGCGGAGAGGGGCTCCAGACATGATCAAGACGCTATCAAGGATCGCCACGACGTCTGGTAGCCATGGGGCGTCGGAGGAGAGCCTCGGCTCAGCTGCATCCTTTGTGTCATGAATGAGCTGTGAGACATCTAAGTGCTGGGTTTCAAATCTGGCTTTGGAGGTCAGACCGCATTTCGTGATGATGATGACGCAGGCCTTGACGATAGACGCGTCGGTGTAGAGTCGATGCCAGCAGATGTGCACATCCTTGAATGGGAAGGTGTGTAGTTTCAAGTTGGCAAGCTCAAGTGCTTTCTCAGTATCGTTGAAGAGAAGATCTTGGAGGCGAGGGTTGTCGCATTGGAGAATGGGGTCATCAAAGCTCGGCTCCGCGATAACGGACAACGCGTCACTCAGGACCGATGAAAGAGTCATGACTGATGGGCAAAGCCAAGGCGAAGAAGGTAAAAAAGAAATGAAAGAAAGAGGTGACGCTACAAACTATCCATAAAATAATCCCAACATGTCCACAAGGTATGATGTTTGGGGAAATTCTCCAACCGCGTCTACGGGCGACTAAGTGAGCCACCCGACACATAAATTCTTCCTTCTTTAACTACCCTCTACAATACATTAGAATACAATTCAATTCTCAATTCAGGTTCAATTCAGATTTAATTCAAGTTCAGTTCAGACTAAGATAGTAAGATAGTAAGATATCAAGAGTTAAGATTTAGAGTTAGGAGTATAAAGAGCCCGGTTTTAAAAATTAAGTATTCATTTATAAAAATACTATATGAAGTACTACGCTAATTGTATAGTTAACTATAGATTCAACATGGTAGGATCTAAATTATTGCCTGGCAATATGGGTGTCCCATATCCTGAACCTTCATTTTGGCAATCAAATAGAAAGGAACACCCATATAATCTAATATGTTAGAGCTAGGTTATCTAGATAGAGTAAAACCAATGCCAGACATATTTGAGAGCTGTATATGTAGATTGCAGGGGTATGGAAGGTATATTGGTGTTTATTATATAGTACACTTTGTTCATGATCAAGGGAGTTTTCTAGTATACATGCTTCATTCGAGAAGGTCAATCACCAATTTGGGAATTCGAGACACACCTTCGCCTCTTTTGGCACTGACCGGAACAACACACACTTTCTCCTTCCAAGCCCTTTCATGACCCGATGGGTGTTCAATCGAGCCATTCTGGACACCAGACAAGTACTCCTGCAGAGCTCGGAATTGGTCTTGTGTATTTTCCAGGTCTGCCTTGGTTGCCACAACAAACCAAGGCTTCAAATGTAAGGGTGTCATTGCCAGGGGAGGCAGGGAGCCATCGGGGTTGGTATTCAATATCGGGGCAGGTTCTTGGCCCAGTGCCTGTCGTCGATGGCCATCATCCGCATTTTCAGTGAATGGGTTCCATTCAATGATGTCGTCTTCCTCGGTAGAGTCAGGATCTGCATCGCGCATTCGCTCGTACTCTCCAAGTTCGTGCCATAGTTTCTGGAGTTCCTGCACAGGATCGGCGAGACTGAGATCAACCACAAAGGCCAAAATTCCGGCTCGGTCGATGTGTCGAAGGAACCCGAGACCAAGTCCTCGGTCGAGATGTGCGCCTTCAACCAGACCCGGAATGTCCGCAATAGTAAAGTGTGTGCGACGGACCTTCGACTCAACAAGAGGGCGACCCTTCATGTCGTCGGTGATGACAGTGCCAATACTAGGAGAAAGTGTAGTAAACTCCCAGTTTCCAATGCGGGTCCGACTGTTGGTCAACGAGCGCAGAAGTGTACTCTTGCCGGCGTTGGGTTTCCCAACCAATCCGACATCTGCAAGAAGCTTAAGCTCGAAGTCCAGCTCTAGCATCATTCCACCTTCGCCTCGGCTTGCGAATTTTGGCCGTCCCATCACGCGTGTGGAGAAATGCGGGTTCCCCAGCCCGCCAATACCACCGGCAGCCAGAAGCATGGGTTTATCCATGGGCTTTGAAAGGTCCAACCAGATCGGTGACTTGGGCTCCATGGCTGCTATATTCTGTCGTCGCGGGTATGATTTCGGGAACTGCACCATAAGGAAATCAGATGGCTTTGCGGCGGGGTGTAGCACCCAGCGATCGTGCTGGATAGGATTGAACTCCGCCTCTTCCGTGTCTTGAAGTCCTTCTTCGCCTTCAACTTCAGGATCATCTGGATCCCTCCAAACCTCTTTCTCCTCTTTAGCAAGATATGACGCTTCTTCCGCCGCCTTGATGCGGGCCCACTCCACCTCGACCGGATCATAACGGCTCACCTCTCGCACCACGGTGCCGACAGGTACCTGAAGGAGGACGTCATCGCCTCGTTTTCCACCCTTGCTTTTACCTTGTCCATTTCGGCCCCTGCTAGCTCTGACAATGCCTCTGCGAGCCAGCTTGTGCAGACTGGTCAAGCCCTCGACGGTCTGGATGTAGATACCACCTCCACTGCCACCATCACCGCCGTTCGGGGGTCCCTCTTCAACGTATTTCTCGCGCAGGTAGGCGACACAACCATGCCCACCAGATCCAGCATGTATTTTCACCCGGCATTTATCTTGAAAAATGAACCGTGAATAATCCTCCGGAGAAGGATCCAAATGCGACAGATCTGGTGTTACCTCGTCAGGTACGGCGTTTTTGCTAGGCTGAGGTGGTGCTTCAGGGCTAGCATTGGTGCTCTGAAATCGGCTCCGTGTGATGCATGGTTTTTGGAGGTTTTGTAGGAATAATCGGCTGCAACGGGCTCGTCTTGGAAGGAACGGTCGTACGGGAAGGGAAAAATAGACTCGTGGATGCGCCATGGTGTGTGATTGGCGGCTATCTCTCGCTCATTCTGCAAATGCAGCTAATTCAACTTTTGAGATAATCCAGTTAGGATTGAATCTCCATAGGGCGCAGTTATCCTGGTCTTCAGTGAATTGTCGACAGACTGAGTTATGACTTCAGTGGATTTCTCAAGGCCCTGATAAGATCACATGGTGATAAGTGTGATAAACATGATAAGCCATTTATAGTATCTCCATTGAGTGCAGAATATTTGCCTATAGTATAGATGTCCCTTGCAAATTTCCTAATCCAACCTGTGTCCATTTTGCCACTAAAGGTTTCACGCAGAAAATCCCCTTTACAAAGTGCACTTCTTACCACATTTACATACATTTAAAAAGACGGTTAGGAAGATATCTAAAAGGTATACCTAAAAAAGAACAATCAGAAAAGATACGACAAGGCTGCATAACTGGGCCGGTCAAACATTCTTGTATCCATAAATGGCATATGTAAGTGTCATGCAGCACAAACCTGACTTGATATTCCGAAGGATTCGCCGAGGACAAACAAGCCGATCAAGGCAATGTACAACCCTGCATCTTACCATTTTCTCATTTCACCGGATCCCTACATTGGAATTTTACATATGCGAGCCGTTGGGTTTCCACATCTGATCCGTAGGGTCACAACAGCTACCCGTGTTGCATCTGCATGTTCCCGCTGTGACTTCCCGATCCCGTGACTAAGTGACCAATGAACATATGCGGACTCTACTTGAGTGGAATAGCTCATTTCAATCTAGTCTGATTGCGACTCGACTCTTTGTCTAGCTTTCACTAATTTATTGTTGAGTTGCTGACATGCAGTAAGGAGACAGAAAAACGGTGTGCTGCCTTTGTTTGGTTTAATACGGTATTGTTGTTTGCTTTTTCGACCTGCCGAGTCCTGAACATCCTTTTCTTGGATTTTGATGCTACATGTATGTATATGTAGTACTGGGCCGTAAAGGGCAATATCAAAACAGGCAACATAAGTCGGTGAAGAACCTCGGGAATCACCAATATGCATACGTGGATCTCTAGCATAACTATTACTCGGGGACTAGTTGCAGCATCCAGGTCAACATCAGTTCCACCAGCAATGTGCGGAGTTTCTCCAACAGCATCAATACGGTCGTTAAAATCGACGTCCTCGGCCACGGCCAGCACATCGTCTGCCAGCCTCGTGTTTATCTCGTCTATATCAAAATCGATCACGAGGCTTTCAAGATCGCCACCAAAGCCTGCTTCGGCGAGATGGATACTGAGCGATTCACGTTCCACATGACCTACACTGTTGCTCAGGCAAACGTCAACTAAGTCATCATGCAGAAGAACCAAGAGAAACTAGACACGATATCCAGCGAGCCCTCCCACAAGACAATCTCAACAAGCCCCAACAATCTTGCTGGGATTCTGGAAGGAGCCTGGTATTTCTCAGGAAATTGTGTGTGATCACCTCTAAGCCACAAATTACGGGTTCTGTGTCTCTCTTATTGTCGAAAGTTGCCGGCGACCAGCTGATCGATGAACCATGTCTTACCGAAAAGCAAATGGAAGCAAGTAATTTGAATTTTATGTTTACAAGCGTACCCCATTTCAAAAAGTAGCAGAGCCAAGACGTATTAGAACGTAATGTTGTCCGTAGTATTGTCCGTAGTATGGTCCCAAGCCGGTTATGGAGTTTAGAGCTACCAAAGGGGAAATGTCTTATCAATGGGGTTCGTATTAGGAAAGCGACAAACAAAAAATATCGTCATGATAACTTAGGCTTTGCCATCACTGGCCTTCTCCAGAACAGTCTTCCATTCAAGCTCGTCGGGGTCATCTGCATGAATCGATGCTTTGGTATCGAGGAATCTCCGCACTTGTTCTTTCGTACTAGCATATATCATTCGAACCTAGAATCACCAGATTGGCAAGAATCCAAAAGAAAGGGATCATCAAATGGTGGCATACCTTGGTTGATGTTTCTCTGGGAACCCAGGTGATGAAAACGATTTTGCTTCTATAGCATGTCAGATATTAACCCAAAGCCGAAATTCAATGACGATAACTCTACCTTTTCCCCTCTAACCCAAGGTCATATTCAACATCATAGACTGCATAACGAGGAGCAGGATTCCCTCCAGTGTCAACTGCGGAGACCAGCTTTCGGCGAAAGTCCTCGTAGTCTTGTTCGGGCGAACTCTCTTCTACAATAACGGCATTGTAGTCATCCGTAATTTTGTAAATGATGAATCTGGGCTTTTTTGAACTCTTTTGCGACCCAAGCTCCCTAAAGGCAGTGATGCAGTAATCTGCAATGGAGACCCTATATCATATCATGGTTTAGAAATTGTATCCTTTCAAACCTTGGTGGATTTAAAAGACATATCCATACCCTGATGGAAGCTAAATAAACATCTATCAGTTAGAAAATCGGAGGTTGGTTGCTCGTACAAGGCCACGAACCGACATGTTTCAAGCTGAAGCGGAATTGATAGATTCACTGAAGATGATCATCAAGAGACTTGGTGGGTAGGATCGAGCTCAATTTAAAGCACCATGTTAAGTTGCTGCCTTTGAAGGCATACTTATACAAGGATAAGGCCGCGTGTCCGAGACTTATTTTCCCATCAGTCTTCGTATATCAAGGTAAAACATGGACGGCTGACCTTCGATATAGGCTACAGGGAGATTTAGATGACCCTGAGAATCAAAGCTGGAATAAAGTGGTGTGCTCGGGCTTTTGGGTCTGCGGGGAAACGTGCCTGCCTCGTATTGTAGCTATCTAGGTATAGATAGTTATAGATGATACGAAACAAGTTACCGTCAGCACTTCATCTTCTCTCGGTCCTGTATTTGATTAGGCTGAACATCCACACAATGGTCGATTTTTGCTGGAATATGCGAAGCCATAACCGAATCGCCCTCAACTTGGATTAACTCGCGTCATATCGCCAAAGTCTATCATCTTATGGATGGTCGCCATAAGCCTATATTCGTTGACTGGGATCTATTTGGCTCGACTCATCTCACAATTACCAGCTGGGTGGGCCTAGACTTCTACGGAATTGGTTTTGGTGCGAGGCTGGGGAGGCCGGGGGTTGTGGGAGTCCCCTATATGGAGGCGAATGGCGTTGGTCTTGTTCTTCCGCGGAAAGAATCAGTGAATGGGGGAAGGCATGGTCATGCTGGGCAGGGACGATATGGATATTCTGGATCAAGTCTGGTATTTGTGATAATTGTGCATATAAAGCAAGAATCATCTGAAACCCGACATTAGCATCTGAGCACCAAACAACCAAACAATAAACAATATAATCCTTATCCTTCTTGACCTCCAACCCCCAGAAACGTTTTCAGGGACATCATCTTTTGTTGGGGTTTTTTTCCCGTGATTTAAGGCAGTTGTCACATTTGTAATTATTCATTTTTGTCCTAGAAGTTATGCAAAATAATTTGATTTCGTTGTAAGAACACGAGATACATGGACATACATATCTTTATGCGCAATGCCAGTTTACGACAGTAGAGTACGACATGGTTAGAGACTACGGCAAGGATATAGGCATCCAAGCTTACCTGGCGGATGATTTGGAATTTGAGATTTGGAATTGAAGTCAGTCCAGTGCATCTGGATAAGATTACACCTTCGTAGTATAAACTAATGGCATATATGGAGCAAGGCGTGTAGTGGATGTATCATCCAGGACGGCATTATGGGAGGTTGATTGGTCCACTGGCCCTAGCTCTCATGTCAAATCCATCATAGACAGGAATCTGTGATCCGCTGTCACATCTAGGGCTTACATGCCAGGAAGGCGATCACATCTTGGCTCCGGGCGGCAAGCAAAAGTACTAGATAGGTGAAGTCTGTTGTACTTTTGCTGAGAGGTTTAGTACTCGAAGATTATGCGGGTCTTATATGGAGTACTTTGTACCTGGGCTCTATCTGGAGATGATCAGTGGCGGATGATCAGTGGCGGATGATCAGTGGCGGATGATCAGTGGCGAAACTTTAGAGTTCGCCAGTAAACTTTCCGGATGTAGGTGTTCATGCATACAGTCTGGCTGCTGGGACTAAGGGTTGATATGGTATTGGATAATCTATGGAATTGACTTTTAGTAGGAACTCTGCATATTAATTAATGATATGTACTCCGTACCCCGTTATGTATGGAGAAATTGCTTTATAGGCTTGACACCATCTGGATATCATTCTGCGGTTTGCGTCCGTTTATTTGTATAATATCTGTCCGGAGTAATACCGTCTTTATTGAAGCAACTGAACATTCGAAGCATAAAAGTCCCAGCTCATCGTCAACAATAAAGGCCGTGCAAGGGGCCAACTAATTCTTTGTTTTAGCTACTTGCAAAATAATGGTATGGAGCTTATAGCAAACAGGAGTTATTGCTTGAGGTGCAATAAACACTTTTGGCACTTAGGTTTATTTAAACAGAAAGATTGAATTAAGTAAAAGTTCAGCTAAGGACGAGAAGATGTTGTTTAACTAGTTCTTGGTTAGCTTCCAGGGTTATCAATGTGTTGACGGTGCGAGGTTCACCTGGGTGCAATCTCCAAACACAAGATATGTTGTAGAACATAGCAAGCGTTATAATCGACGAATCATCAGACAAACAACCTTGACATTTCCGATGATCACTGAATCTCAATTTTTAGTTAGATTCGTACCACCACAGAATCCCACCGACTACAAGAAGTAGGACTACACGTGACTGCTATGAAACCAGCATTCTTCGGTGTCTAGACCGCTGCAGGGGAATCAATCTGGATCACATCAGAGAGTTCAGAGTAGGGACGAAGTAAGGTGACAAAGTACATAACTATAGCAATTGTACGTATCCAGCTGAGAGACCAAAAGTCCGCGGAACTCGGCTGCCGGTACCTTGCGGGGGGGCAAAATAAATTGATAATAAATAAAAAGCCAGAAAAAAAAGTCCCATCGAAAACAAAGAAAAACAGAGTAAAGGTTTCAAAGGAACAAGAATGTTCACATGATCACAAGTAGAATCGATAGTGTGAAAATCCTTGCGAAAGACGAGATTTGATTCGTGTCCACTCGCGGAACTTTTGTATTGTACCCGTCACCGCGGCACCGGATCCCTACCTTCCGCTTGCCACAGGTGGGGATAAGGGCGATCGTTCCTGTTGGTCACAGAAATAGAAAAGATAAAAGAGATCCAACTGTAAAATGATACTCCGTACGGAGTATAATACCACACAGCATTCTTTACCTTAGCCCCTCTTTGGGAGAAATCTCGGGAGACACTAATGTACTCCATATATCCTTAACTTAGTACCGTGGAACTGAACTTGTAATTCCATGGTTTGGCTGGCGGGGACCCCGAGAAAAAAGGCCAATTTAAAAATTTTATTGGTTCGCGGAGATCCCGCTCAGCTGCCGGACCAGCGCCAGATTTCAGCTTTTCTCGGAACACAACTATGGAGTAAAAGAGACACGCAAGGCAGCTAGTCTCTAAAGCCAGCTGGGTCCGGATCTTGACTGTCAAAAATTGTACGGAGTACATCGTATGCATTATGCATGAGTACTTTTACTTTGCTTCGGATACGCTTTGCCGATTCTACAAAAGTACACCTGTCACTTGCTCCATGCAAGCTCCAAGTAGTCTCAAAAACGAACCTTTATAACTTCAATCTTTCTCCAATCCTCCGGGATCTAATACAAAGCCATAGAATCTAGATCGGTAATTGTAAATGTGGCGCTTTTACAATGTCGAATGATGATCAGTCCAAACAATAAGATTGAACAATTTAGCTATCCATGGATGTACAATGGAGTCTGTCGTATGTTGTCTGTATGCACTCTCTAGCGCTGCTAAGTAAGGACCCACGTCTAGTATCAAGAGTAGCAAAAGTCCGACATGGATACTATGATTTTTGATTAGCGATCCCCCAAAAGAGACAGGCGAATACATTGTGTAACCGATCGCAAGCACATTCAGCGCAAGCTTCCAGATCGGAAGCAAAGGGAGGAATGAATTGTATTGACACTTGGCATAGAAATTAACCTCAAACTTTGCTGTCTTGATCGATCGGGGGAACTGCAGTGAAGCTAGGAGTTCCCATCTAAAGCATATACTCCGTACTCTGTACACATCGCAAGGACGACCGGTGGGGCTTTTTTGAGATAGCAAAAAATGAAGCCTGATTCTAATGAAAAATTAGGAAAAGAAACCTGCATTTATCCGAATCAAGCGGGATCGCGATCGCAATGGGCCTGAAAACAATGGAATCAGAGTGATATGCAATGTAACTATATTGTACATCACTGACATTGATGTATGTAGTTATGTACGAATTTTGTACAACCATCGAGAGGGGCAAGTTCGTTTGAGCCCTTGTTTTCGCCCCAAATTAATGTATATACCCCTTTTTCCTTGTTCCAATTGATTTCGATGTCATGGAAGATCTAGATTTTGAGTGACGGGAATTCGGCCCATGGGAGTCACCCCGAAAAGTTGATACATCACACAGAATTTTCTTCCCGTCAACCATCCGGCACAGAAAGGGAGGCCGCACCAAAAAAATTCTAAGCACCCTAGTCTCTGGGGCAATTTTGCCCGAGGTCTCTGCCTAATTTAGAATTTAGATAGGTCCAAAAGAAAGCTTTCCTATATGCCAGGAAGCATTTTCCGCTTGGCTTGGAATCATTTTCGTCCTTTTGATTGCTGAGGGGCAATCGGTGCCACGCCTCAGCAATTCGGGATCTTGCGACTGTCAAACCCGACAATATGGTGCGGCAGCTACGGTTCTGTGTGGATCGTGGACCCTTGTGTCTGGATTGGGATGGGTTAGCGTTGTCTGAAAAAAGAAATAAAATACAATCCACTCGTCTATCCGAAAACGCGGCTGTATCCTTAGGGGCATCGTATCTTGCCAAGTGAGTCAGGTTCATGGTAGTCGGATCTGTGGGCCGTCAAGCCCCTTTGATCATCGGTGGTGCTGTGGCGGTATTTATAGCGGGAATGTAGGATCTGGGCGTTGTGGCTACGCGATAGACGAGGCGGAAACAGTGTGTTATGGAAGCTGAACCTGCCCCCCTTGCTATTGGCCTCGATCGGGAAGTGTGTTGAGGGGTATTATTCCCACGTGATTCAATATCTTGCTCACTGTTGGAATGAAGGAAATATCAAGGGCATCATAAGGAATGTGGTAGAAGTTGGGTTGGTATATGATCGCATATGAGATTAAGCACGAATTAAGCCGATCGAACTAGTATATACCCAACGCAGTGACCAAGCAGCGCACGGTGAGATCTCCCGGGGTCGGAAGATCCAGCGAAACCTATCTAGGGCGTTATCAAGGGCATCATCATGAATAAGTCGGTGTCATGAGGTATGACTTCCATCTGTACGGCGTTTGTTTACTTGTAACGCGCTTCACCGTCTTTTGCAACGTTCTTGAATTTTGGGCAATAATAACCGCGGAGGTC